GGCGCGGGGGCCCCCGCCTTCAGCAGGGCGCACGTGTCGTACTGGCTCGGGGCGGCTGCTCTCCGGCACTGCAGTGTCACGCTTTCTCCTGCCGGCACACGGCGACGCTGGAGGACATGTAAGGACGGTTTCTGCGAAAGTCCTGGAGGAGATAGGGCCTGGGGTAAGGAGAAGTGTGGGCATCTGCTCCCCCCGGGGTCTCCCTGACCAGAGCAAACCAGTGACCTGACCGGCCCTCCCAGGACTCCGTCTCCAGGAGAGACACGGCCCTACCAGAAGCCCTGGAGAGGCCAAGGGGTCCGGTTCTGTCCCCGGCTCCATCTCCCTCGCGCAGCTTTGCCCTGCCCCTCTCTCCCCCTTGGGTTCCTCACTCATCCCCTGCCTGACGGCTGAGGGGCCACCCCCGTGGTCACGCCTCCTCACCCGTGACCAGCAGCAGGAGGGCGTCACTGCGGGGTGAGGCTCTGTGCGGGGCTGCCACCCTGGAGTAGTGGCAGGTGTACTCTCCGGCTTCAGCGCTTGTAAGGCCAGTGCAGCCAGGCCCTCCGGGACCTCCGACGACGGGGAGAACTGAGACACTTTCTCTCCCTTTCTGAGAACAAATTTGACTTCTCTGGTCGGAGCCTGGCACTGCAGGGTCACGTTGCTCCCGGCGGGGACCACGGAGCTGGGCCAGGCGCTGAGGGAGGGCCTGGGCAGTGAGCCTGGGAGGAAGCAGAGCCCAGGGCTGGGTGGACCACACCCCACTGCAGCCCATCCCAGGAAGCCCGTGAGAGAAGGGGAAGGGGGAGGCGGGCGGTAGGGGTGAAGGGCCGGGAGGCTGAAGAAACTCACCATCTCTTTCATTTTCTCTTTGGCCAACTAACAGCCCTGCAAGAGAACCCTCCGTGAGATTCAGTACCACCGGGGCCCACGTGTCCCCTGCCTTGACCCCACGGGACCAGCCCGAGGCTTGGCTGAGAAGAGCCCCGTGTAGACGTCGGGGTGCTGGCGTCCCACGCGGGGCTGCGCCCAGGGCTGCCCTCGCTCCTGCAGCTGCTCGTGGCCCGGCTGTGCCGCTCGCCCTCCCAACTGCGCAGGGCCGTCGTGGCCCCACGGACATTCCGGAAAACCTTCCATTCTCGTCCTGCAGGACACAGCGCCCTCGGCCTGGCCGTCTCTTACCGTCTATCCATGCTCTGTGTGTGTGTGTGTGTGTGTGTGTGTGATCAGTTATTCACGTTCTCGGCAAACAATTCAGAACATCGGTTTGTGAGGATAAACTCCATTGTAAGGGCAAACACGGACCGCAGGCAGCCCTGGAGCTGAGGAACAGCTTTGATTTTCGGTAAAATTTGCGAGCCCACAGCTTCCTGACCTCCCTTGCGCTGCTCTGAAATCGTGTGTCTCCTGGTTCTCCACCCAGGGGAGGAGGCGCGAACCACTCAGGAGACAGGACCCGGGGAGGGGTTCTGCCTCAACCCAGCTACTTCAGGGTTTCAGCACCAAGCCCCAAAGCAGCCCTGGGTTTCTCCCGGCAGTGTCCTCTGGGCTGGAGTAGCCCAAATGACACAAACAGAAACCACGTAGTTAAAAACCTTAGAAGTGGGGCCAGCAGGTGGTGGGTGGTGAAGGCGCTGGACTTGTACATGGTCAACTGTGGTTTGAGTCCTGGACCTGGCGGCTTGCTTTCTCACTTTCCCTTTCTCTCTCTCGTCCAATTAAAAAATAAATGATAATAAATAAAATTGAATAAATAATTCTAAATCAAAACTTGGATTGTTATAAAATCCTGTTTCCTCCATGGGACCAGCAGTTGGCGAAATGGCTATGTCGCTGGACTCCCACATAGTCGACCACGGTTCGCATCCCACGCCCGGTGGCTTAAAACTCACGCCGGGCGCATGTGCGTGCGTGCCCAAGATCCCGAGAGGAGAATGGAGAAGGGACTGTGGCGTGGCCATCCCCACTGGGGGTGATTTCTCGCTTTCTGTCTCTCTTTCTCTGTCTGTCTGGAGAGCGCATGCGCCCTATAGCGAAAACCTCTTCTTCTTCTTCAAAAAAAGTCCTGTTTCCTCCACAGTGTGGGAGGTACATGATGTCACCGCGGGGGTCGCCTCAGCCCCCCAGTGTCCACCAGGCCCTAGGATGCAGGAAGGCCTCGCCAGGTCCTGCTGACTGGTTGATGCGAGGGCCCAGTTTACGCAAGAGTTAGACAGGCCCAGCCCGCGTGGAGGAAGCTCAAAGTTGCAGTTTCTCCTCTTCCTTCCCCCAGAGTCACCTCGGCGAAGACGGCGTAAGCACTGTGCCACAGATTTGTCGGCGTGATGGGCAGAGCTAGCTGTGATGGCCTTAGCTTTAGCCTTATAAAGCTTCTGAACCGGGACCAGCAGTCGGCGTAATGGCTATGTCTGTGGACTCCCACGTAGTCGACCACGGTTCAAGTCCCGGACCCAGTGGCTTAAACTCAAACCGGGTGCGTGCGCGTGCGTGCCCAAGATCATTGCTCTGTCTGTCTGGCGAGCGCACACGCTCTGTAGCAAAAACCGCTCTCAAAACAAAAACAAAAACAAAAAAGCTTCTGAACCTTGGGACCAACAGATGGCATAGCAGCTACATTGCTAGACTCCCACATGGCCAACTGTGGTTCGAGTCCCGGACCCAGTAGCTTGAAACTCACACCGGGTGCATGTGTGTGAATGCCCAAGTTCCCAAGAGGAGAATGGAAGAGAAGGGACTGTGGTGCGGCCATCCCGCTGGGGGGTGATTTCTTGTTTTCTGTCTCTTGATCTTTCTTGTCTCTATGGTGAGTGCACGCACCTTTATAGCAAAAATCATTAAAAAGAAAAAAATTAAGTATTTATTTTTAAAAATTATTTTATTTTTAATTTACTATAGGGCATGTACTCTCACCATAAAGAGACAGAGAGAGGGAAAGTGAGAAAGCAAGCTGCCAAGTCTGGGACTCGAACCATAGTTGGCCATGTGGGAGTCTAACACCTTAACCACCATGCCACCTGCCGGCCCCTCAACAGCTATGTCAAAGAGATAAAATATATTCCTTCCCTGCCTCACCTGGGGCTGCATTTTTTTCTTTTAGAGAGTTTTTTTTGCTATAGGGTGTGTGTGCTCACTGGAAAGACAGAAAGACAGAGAAAGTGAAAAATCACACCCCAAGGGGGATGGCCACGCTGCAATCCCTTCTCTTTTCATTCTAGGGATTTTGTGCACACATGCACATGTGCCTGGCGTGAGTTTCAAGCAGCCAGGTCTGGGACTCGAACCACAGTCAAACACATGGGAGTCCAGCGCCATCACCACCACACATCTGCTGCCCCCCCCCCCGGCTATGTCAAAGAGATAAAGCATTCCTTCCCTGTCCCACCTGCGGCTGCCTTTGCACGACACCCAGCTCAACTGCGAGCCCTACCCGTCACCAGGATTTCCAGGGGGTCGCTGGGCTCCGAGGCCCAGAAAGGTGTCTGGGTCTGGTAGTACACGCAGCTGTAGTTCCCGGCGTCCCGGTCCCTCACCGCCTGGAGGACAAAGTCTGCCCCCTTCTCTGCCGGCCCCCGCAGCTGCAGGGGCGAGGACATGCCCGCCTTTAGTAGAAGGAACACCACAGGCACAAGCGAGTTGTT